AATGTACTGTTCCTTTATTGCTAATATCTGTACATTGATATGATCCTTCCATAAGAGCCAAATTCTGCCATTTACTGTTGTGTTCTAATTACAGCAATGGTTCCATCCTTTAGCTACTTTCTGAAGAATCTGGCTTGCTTTACTTTCTTTAACTTTAGTTTCCACACAACCCATGATATCTACTTTATGTCTTGCTAGAAAGAGCTTCAACTCTTTCTGTTTTGAGAGCTTGTTCAGCCCTCTAATATTCCAAGTGCATACAATCATGGAGGATCTGCCATCCTCTGTGCACATACAGGCCCTCCCCTTATAGTGCTAGGCTCCTCAATTCTTAAGGAAGCAAATCTGTTGGCATTCTGCAGTATCATAGGATCATGCATTCTGCTATTGGGATCTCTATGTGTGGTATCTTGTGCAGCTATGGTTTTGCCTTTTGTCCCTTTGCTATTCTGCCTTACCCCACTCTGTTGTTCAGGAGAAGCTTCTTCTGCAGGCAGGGAGACATGTTGCTGTGCCACAACCTGGCTAGTTCCAGAATCAGATCCTCCCAGCTGTTTTTCCTATTCTTTGCCTGGCACCTTTGCTTGCCAGACTGGCCCCTTCTTTCTATTTTTTCTCCTTTACCTTTTAGCCACTTCCTGGTAAGGTTCTTCCTTAGTCTCTGCAGTAATCCTTCTGCAATTGTCTGAATCATGGCCAAATTTTATGCATTCTACACATCTTTGGTCTCCAATCATATGTCACCTGTTGTTGAAATACACCAAAGGGTGTATCAATTTCAATACACTCTTGTAGGGGCTGTATCAATTTCAATACACTCTTGTAGGGGCTGAGACACATCTGCTTCAACCAATACTCTAGCATATGAGATCTTCTCCAATTCTGCAGTAAATTTGTCTGTATACAGTGGTTTTCCTACTCCACTAGCCAGTTTGCTTAAAGCTTCACGGGACCAATATCCCACTGGTAGACCTGGAAACTTCACCCACACTGGAATGGTGCTAAGGCACTCCGGAATATAAAGATATATTTAGAAATATATTATTTGTATTTTACCTTTTTTACTCTCGTGGAAAATATATAAAAAGGAACAGTTTTATGTTTTGCAAGGAAATAAATAGACTAGAGTGTAAATCGTTAAAAAAAAAAAATAGAACAGTAAAAAATAGAGCACACACTAGGGGTGCAAAATGCAAAGGACTCGATGTCTCTTCCAAATATAGTCCTTCTATGATAATTATTTCATTCGACAAAACTAGCCAAATGCCTTTGCTCTCTATTCATTAAGTTGTATCAAATGAAAGTACTTCTCCAAAAATCTCATCTATCATCATTTTTGAACCTACGAAAACAAAGTTTGTGATCAATATCAAGGTCCAACTGCACCACCAAAAAAGAAAAAAGGATCTTCAATTCGCTTCTTCTCAAAGTATCCTAACAATGCTCCTGGACAAAAAGGAAAAAAATAAACCCAAAAAAAAGCCCTATATGCGACATATTCTAATATGAGAAATTACTTTACTAGTCTAACATAAATAAGAAATTATAATACATATTATGGCTAAGTGTATATACTTGCTTCCTATTGTTTCATAGCCTTTTGTCGCTAGGTATGAAGATAGTTCTTCTAGTCAAGCTTAGTGTAACCTGAAGTTTTTTGACCATTCGCTTGAAAACTCATAAAATTAGAAGTACCTTTTGAAAATAATCCAGAATCCTCTACTTATTCAATTTCATGAGCTTGACTTCACTTAGCTTTCTATGAGACGGCAACATGTGAGCCATTGATAGGACAATAAGAGGGTGACTATGTTTTGGCTCAACCTTAGTAATATGATACTTTCCCATGAAATGACGAGTAATAATAATGTGAGCAGGGCATCCTGTTCTTGTTTCTTTTCGTCGATTTATTACTTGATTCCTTCGTTTATCATTACTACGAAAACTTTGGAACATATAATCTCTCACTAAGTTGCTCGGACATGGGTGCGGAGGTCCGACACGAGTGCGGATCTTAAGGTCGGATCCTTTGAGATGTAAATTCTAAGATTCAGATACGGATCTTAATACGGATATGGGTGCGGGGATCTGGCTAAAAACAATTTAAAAAAATAAAAATATAAAAATATCTCTAAATTATGAAAATTTTTGTGGAATACTTACGTATAGTTGTGAAGTGTGGATTTCTTTTTTATTCTCAAGTTGTAGATAAGCAAATGATTGATTTCCTAGATAAGGTATGCTATTTTCTTCAAGTTTACCCTAGTTTTGGTTCTGATTTCGGGAATCAAGTTGTATCTTGTCTCGAATTTTTCCGTCCGTTGTGGTCAAAGTACCCAGAATTGTTTGACCAAATCCGGTACGGATCCCATACCTACACCTATACTAGTGTCGTGTCGACACGAGTGCAGTTCCTAAACTGTCAGTGTCGAAGCAACTTAGATCTCTCATGATGTTACATAACCTAATTAGAGTTGACAAGAACATCAAACATCTTTTGCTTTCTTAGGGAAAAGAATAAAAACCATTTATCGTCACGTGATGGTTTTTAGAATATGGCCGAGTATTATGAAAGATATGAATACATATCTCTAATGATACATATGATTATTGCAGGAGGAATGAGATCATAAAATTAGTTTTGGCAGGTTACAGTGATTTTCACTACTAGAAATTCAGCAAAAACCGACCAAGGTTGACCGACCAACTTTTGTCGGTCAAAAAATCGGCCAAAAAACCGACCAAAGTTGGTCGGTTTTTCAATTAAAATAAATAAAAATTAATATTAAAAAAACCGACCAAAGTTGGTCGGTTTTTCAAAATATTTTATTTTTTAATATTGTTTTACGAAACCGATCAACTTTGGTCGGTTTTCTTTGGCGCAAAAATGCGGGAAACTATTTTTGAGTCCCGCGAAATTTATTTTTCAAGAAACCGATCAACTTTGGTCGGTTTTTCAATTAAAATAAATAAAAATTAATATTAAAAAAACCGACCAAAATTTGTCGGTTAATTCGGCCGGTCATTTTAAAAAACGACCAACTTTGGTCAGTAGTTTTATTTTTTAATAAAACCGACCAACTTTGGTCGGTTATTTTCGTGCAAAAATATAATTAAAGAGTATAAATCAAATAAAAGACAGTCTTAAAACAAAATGCACCAATGGTTTAGTGGTAGAATAGTATCCTGCCACAGTACAAACCCCGGTTAGATTCCCAGATGTTGAATCTTTTGATTGCATAATTAAAAAACCGACCAACTTTGGTCGGTTTTTTTTGTAAAAGTTTTTTCTTTGAATTTAATTGACCGACCAAAGTTGGTCGGTAATTTCCGACCAACTTTGGTCGGTTTTTTTTGTAAAAGTTTTTTCTTTGAATTTAATTGACCGACCAAAGTTGGTCGGTAATTTCCGACCAACTTTGGTCGGTATGCCTTTCCGACCGTCAAAATATCGTCCACACATAAATGGTCGTGTTTTGGTCGGTAATTGGCCATAATCGACCAACTTTGGTCGGTTTTTTTGGTCGGTGTTTAGCGGATTTCTAGTAGTGTTTGACCTAGCCATTACCTGCCATGTATTCTTTTTTGACTCTTTTGTGATGTCAGGGTCTATTTTCAAGAATTATAGCTATAAGGTGCCTGGATAAAGGGTGAAATCTACCAATTGCAGTCAAAATTTAACTATGGTTAATATTTTTTTGATTTTTTCTACCTTATTAACTATGGTTAATATTCTTTTGACTTTTGAATATTACTGGAAATTTAGTAGCCGGGGCTAATTACAGAACTCTTAGTTATTTTATTTAAGACATGAGAAGTATAATTTCAAGAGCTTTTGAACTTTGCAAATTTCGTGCTTTCTGGTTGGAAGTCATGATTTAATGATTTCAGGTAACATGAGCCTTAATTAATCTGATCCTTTTACTAGTTTATTTCCCTTCAATTATGAAGAGTAGAGTTTCATGAGAGACAAGTGTGACTTCTACCCTTTTTTTTTGGTTAGGTCAAAATGCTCACTGTATATTTCCATTAAATATGGATGGATGGAAATTCAGGCAGACCAGCCGAATAGGAAAATTTTAGGTCAAAACCAAAATGGTTATAGACAAGGTGCATTTGAAGGGCTGTTGAGTATCATATAGAGAAAAGAGAAGTCTATCTGTCTATGGTGCAACGTCTGCAATGTACCTCCATAATAGGGTGGAGGATGATATTGCTATTTGTTCAAAAGGGATCTCTAAGAGTTAGCTAGTGGACCGAGTCAGCTTTCTCAGTTTCTGTTTGTACTTCAATTTCCAATCGAATGTGGCTCTACATGACTTAGTTTGTTGCCACATCTCTTACATGAGTCAACTTTTGCATCAGTTTGTACAGAAATTTTCGTATCAACGGAACGTAGCTCTATGCTAGCTAGTGTATAGCCATATTGCTTGCCTTTGCTGTATGCGTCATTCGTCATTCGCCCCCAAAACTCCCGTTTGTGGGAATAGAACAGAAACTCCATTGGTTGGTTTTTTTGTATATTGTTGAGTGAAATGAACAAGCGAATTGGTTGGCCAGAAAATATGCATGACAAACAGGCAAAGTACGCGTTGATCTCTTTTGTAATGACATTAGTCTCTAGGTCATCTGCACTCACCTCAGCTATTTTACATGGTACACTAGCTACCTTTTACTAGATAGAAAGCGATCACCTACGTTTTACATGTAAGTCTCCCAGATTCGTTATTCTAACTTTATTGACCGTTAGATCAAACCTTGGGAGTAAGAGTTCACCTTGATCATATTAGGGAGAAAACTGTGTCGCTTTTTTCTTTTCTTTTTTTGATAAAGGCAAAAAGTATATTGCTTCCGCTCATTAAATTTATTTGGTGAAAACTGTCATGTCAAAGAACATGGATTTTCTTGCTACATAATAGATTAACCGAGGTATTGATTTGTGAATCCCGGTGGATGACTTAAAATGTTGAAGCTCACATCTGATCTTGGTTTACATGCAGTGTAGTCGGGAGGAACTGCCAAAGGTCAAAGCTTTTCTACAGCAACTGCTTATGTAGTGCTTTGTTTCTGAACATTGTAGCTGGTTATGGGCTGGGATAATTTGTATAAATCTCAATAGTTCAGCTATGTTGAGAGGGAACCTGTTGAAATAAGATTTGTGGAGTTCAGAATTTCATTTACCACCCCGAGTCTCCCCTGATTTAAGTTGTATCCGCTGTAACAGTTAAATGTAACAGCAGCCATTTGAATGTAGCAGCAGACACTGGAAAATAAAAGATCAGGCCACGGTCAACAGAAGAGCCAAACTGCTTGCAAATGTATCGCCATTATCATACATCCCTTGATTGTGAGTTTAACAGTGTATAGCAAGGGAGATAGCATTTCACCTAGCAATAACTAACAAATTGAATACGCAACGAAGCTGGAAGTTCTCTCACAAGAATTTAATAGAGAGCAAGTGTGATAGTGCAATGAGATGCCAATACATCCAGTGAAAACTAAATCAAAATAATAACGTGAATACCCAAATGAACTAGCAGAATTCAAGCTTCATCATGCATGGACAGGACATTGCATAGGCACGCACGCCATTACAGCATCAACAAAATCATTCAGAAGAATACAAAGCACAAAACCTTAACATGTAAGATGCTACAGAAGTGGTATCGGGCGATCTATACAATGGATACCCCCAAACTTCCCAATCTCACCCAAACTAAGTCTTACAAGCACAATAAAACATTGGGTAAACAGATATACTAAGATAATCATTCTAATCTCATTCGGATTTGCTTGAACTGGAATTAGGAACATCGTCTTTCTCATCCGCGGCAGACTCAACCTGTTTATATGCCTTTGAGATTTCTTCAACTGGTATCAAAGGAATGTAGCTGACAACAATATAACCTTTCTTCTTCTTCAAGTCAGCAACTAGCTGATTATACTTCTCAGACCAGTAAGCAGCTGTAGGAGCAGCCATCTGTGCGATTCCATGCAACGGCGCACAATGATTTACATGATACCAGAGTACTGCCACTTGACTAGTAGCCAATTGCTTGGACAATGCACCAGCATGATTGATAGCTGCACAAGGACCAGCAACTTGTACTTCCTTGAACAAGGCTTGTGCTACTTCTGATGCCTTCTGAAACATGGACTGGGCTTTGCTGACAACCTTCTTGGCAAAGGGAGGAGCATGCTCATCAAATTTTGCTGCTCCATCATCCACCTAACAGCCAGAGTTGTTCGTTGTGTTAACAACAATAATGAGGAAGTCAAACCACAAATGCCCATTTCATTTTCTTTTCACTAGACTCCATAATATCTTTATCAGAATTTGAGAGCAATGAAATTGCCGTTAGAAACAATGCAGATTGCAGGAAACTAACTTCATGTGAGACAGCCAGATGTAAAAATTTAACTTGCAGTCCGAATAGCTCATAATAATCACATGGCTTAAGTAAAAATCAATTGCAGTCTTGCCAGGCACCATATTTAGCAGTATTAAGGCAAGTGTTCCAGAAGAAAGCACGAGCTCCTACATGTACAACTCCTTCTAATTCAATTACACCAGCAAGTCCTATCAGGTTCTTATCCCATACTCTTAATAGCTAACTTTAAGTTAATCAACTACTTTGAGTGTATTGTTCCAACTTTACAGAGATGTCCCCAAAGGGGAAACTATTAACATAATAATAAGCGCATGTCTGGAAGGAAAACAAAATACTAGTGATATATAAGAAAGGTAACTGTTAAAAACTTATTCCAACCATAGCAGTCACGGTAACACTTGATTGGACAATCTCTATTTTCTCCTTGATCAGAATAGAGGATGTGAACATAAGCGAATTATAACTACTAGCACATGCCACGAACACATCTTCATTTCTATAAGGCAGTTCATCCATCACCACAGAAAAAGGTAAGGCCCCTTAACTGCTGTATAAGGTATGTAAATCATCATCACGAGGGCTTGCATGGAGGCGGCATTGCGACCACGGGCTTGGACGTCACTTCAATATTTCTCCGCTTTTTCGAGGCCCGAGTGAAGGCATATATATCGAATGGATTCATAATAAACAAAGGCGATTGAAAAATATTAAAAAAAAGGGGGGCTTACTTGTGACGATGTCGGGCAGGGTGTCATAGAAAGATGTTTGGGGTAGTGGCTGTAAAGCCCTAAACACCAAAAGTCAAAAGGAGAAATCCCTTGATCAGGTCTTGAATGAGACCGAAGGTAAGGAGACCCCCCTAATGAAAAATGCTCAGCTTAGGGATCAGATATAGATATCGGAAGATCAGGCCCATCACTTCTTCTTGACTTCGATTTACAGGGTCTATTTATTACAAAGGGTGAACATATCCTCTCTCTAAAACATTAACATAGGTCCTCACGCAGATATATCACGTATTATCATCAATTCATCATCACCGTTCACATAATACACAGCAACATAACAACAAAATAATCAATGAAAGCAACAATTTAACAGGACATAAGAAAAGATTCAATACCTTCTGGTCTAGGAAAATAAGGACTTCATCAGGAACACCTTTAAGCCTCTCGTAAACAGGCCTTACCACGGTAGTTACCGCGTTCTCTACAGTACCCAGAGTCGATCTCAAAGGCCCCGAGTTCTGCTTCGCGTATTCATACAGATTTGACACCAAAACCGCAGTGTTTATAGCCAACACCCTAACAAACCCAAGATGTTTCAAATTCTCCTCACTTTTCTCCATCTCAACCTACAGATCATAAATCAGACAATCATTAATTACTAATTAAACCCAAAAAATCACAAATTGATTGGATGAACATCATAATATGAATTAACATTAAAGTTGATTAGATCGAGAGATTAAACAAACCTTATCAGTAGCCATATTTTTTATCAGCTTGTAAGGAACTTTGATCTGCTTCAGCTATTGATGTTGTAAAATGACAAGGTTGTTGGTAATAAAGGAAGATGCGGGAATATTTAGCTGATAATCTAAGGGCTGTGAAAGAGTCACGTGTCGTAGGGTAAGGGATCACGAGAGATTCCTTAGTCGAGAATCAATGAAGCGTTTGAGGAAATGCGTATTTCTAGCTATGCGCAGAAGTTTCGCGAAGGACACGTGGCATTCTGTTTGAGGGCAGTGCGAACTATCTCGACGCACACTCTTCTCTTACCATTTTTTTTTTAGATTTTTTTTAATGCTATACAATATTTGAAACTTATTTATTAAAATTATTCTAATTTTATATATTACCCGTCATAAATAAAGATTATTTATAAATTATATACAATTTATTATTAGTGTCTTAAATTAGGGGACTTAATTACACTATTTTCTTTTTTTTTCTCCTCTCCTCTTTCCCTATTCACTGTCGCCTCTCTCCATATACAAATTTATTATTATTGCCTTAAATTAGGGGATTCAATTATACATTTTTTCTTTTTTCTCTCCTCTCCTCTTTTCCTATTCTCTGACACCTCTCTCCATATACAATAGTTTGAGGGAGTCAATACATAAATAATCTAATTACCAGACGTGATGCCGACAATTTGGATTCAGCGCTCATTCTATTCACACTTTAAATTAATTTTCTGATCTCATATAATCCTGTAGAGTGGCATCTCTCAAGAAGTGATGTTCTGGATTCAACCCATTGACCAACAATTTGTGTTTGTCCCTCAGCGCCAAACCAAAACAGTAGAGACTTTGACGATAGATAGCACCTAAACCAGACAAGTTACATGTCGGAATATTCAAATTTGATACAAATTTGATATATCTACAACATATAAACTAAAAATAAATTTTGTACAACTAATTATATAGTATACAACTTATTTTTAACTTATCTACAACTTTCATACATCATTTTTAACTTATATACAACTTTTATTTATTATTTTTACCCAGTTAAATACAACTAAACATCAAAAAATTTAAATACAATTTTCATACAAATTTTATACAATATATCTTCTGTATATATTTTGTAAAAGCTTTGTATATATTTTGTATGTGGTGTGTTCTTCTTTTTCTCTGTAATTTTAATCAAAATTTCCTCTCTTAATACAATTTTGATATATATCAACAACTTTATATGAAAAGATAGTATTTATAAGTTAAATACAAACTTCATACAACGATTCATACATTATACAACTATTTTTCAACTTTCATACAACATTCAAATTAAAAAAATCTATAACTATAACAGAATACAACTTAAATACAATTTACATACAATTATAATGCAACTTTAATACAATTTCGTAAATATATTGTATGTCATTTGTTCTTCTTTTTCTTCGAGTTTCAAATCTGAAATTCATCCAAAATTAAGTCTAATCTTCACCAAACACCCTCAAAATTGAGATATAAACGTCAAACAATATTCCCAATTATTTGCAACAATACCCAATCCAAATAAATAATGATTTTTGAGAACCCAAATTCGAATTCAAAGCTTCAAAGCTTTTTAATGGCTGTCAATAGTGGAGAGTCAAACACCTTCGAAATTTATTGATTGACAATTTCAATTTGAACAGCAATTGTGCAACATGAAATGAAATTGCTAAGTTAAAACTCTATAGTAAAATGATTGAAACTCATTGATGAATTCCATTAAAACTATATGAACATTAAAGGAAGAAAAATTGGGGAAAGAACATAGACGGAGGGG